AATTAGAAGCACACAATTCCCTAGAATAGCATTATATGCTTAAACGTTAAGATTTGTACTCGTGGAAATGACTAAAGTAGTCAAACCTGTTAATTAGAAGGGGGGGTCCAATACTTTTGTCAGTATAGTGTATGTTTGGTGCAGTAGGGGGCCCAACCTTATATTCTTTCATAGGGCCCAAAATTGCTAGCGGCGCCCCTGCCTGTGTGAACTACAGCATGCAAAGTTCGGGGTAACGTTAGCTAGTCTGCTTGTGTAATGAAGCAGTATAGTGCTCTTAAAGAGACCAGCACCATTTCCATATTAACGCTATGCATTACTTTCATTTAGTTCAAAACTTTTGTCAGTATAGTGTATGTTTGGTGCAGTAGGGGGCCCAACCTTATATTCTTTCATAGGGCCCAAAATTGCTAGCGGCGCCCCTGCCTGTGTGAACTACAGCATGCAAAGTTCGGGGTAACGTTAGCTAGTCTGCTTGTGTAATGAAGCAGTATAGTGCTCTTAAAGAGACCAGCACCATTTCCATATTAACACTATGCATTACTTTCATTTAGTTCAAACGGTGACAGCGTGAAATAAAACTACAAGTTTAGAACACAAAACTATAAGTTACAGTTCTTAACAGTGTCTGGTTATGTATTATAAATCCAGAGTAAGTAGAACAGGAGAAGAATTGGAGATAGCCTGCATGCTTTAATCTGTGATGTTTTATGAACAGATATACACTTAATGTATATTAGGGTCATTTTGTATCTTTTACAACACGTACAGTGACTAAAATAAGTCTTTTACCACAGTAAAGTGACTTTTACTTGTGATACTTGACTGCTGTGCTTTTATTTTCATTGCCTCTCTTCTTTAAACCAGTATTTCTCAAAATTCTGTTCCTGAAAATCATATTGATCAGCCAACTTCAGATAGCCATAACTTTTGCTACGTTCAAGCTAAATAATAAATAAAAACAGTTTTGGAAATGGCATGAACCCAGCTTTTATGGTATCAAAACCTATAATAGGTAAAAATTTCACCATGTGGTTAGATTGCATCACAAGCAAAATATCTTCATGAAACATGATCTTTACTTAATATCCTAATGATTTTTAGCATAAAAGACAAATTGATAATTTTGACCCATACAATGTATTGTTGGCTATTGCTACAAATATACCCCAGCGACTTAACACTGCTTTTGTGCTCCAGGGACACATATGTGGTTGTAAACAGAATCAAACAGTTTATAATACCTGCCCTTCGGTCGCCCAAGTGGTGCATTATATCGCCGCTTGATTTGAGCTGCTTTTTCTTGCAAGAGCTTTCTTCCCTTTTTTCTTGGCCGACAGATCTGACAGATCCACATACCTGCAGAACACCAATTAAGAATCTTTACTCATAACTGTAATTAAAGAGAAAACTAATTCTTGTGTAAATGAATACATCAACACAATATACGGTTAATAGAGTGTGCCTAGAGACAAATGCATTGATTGCACGACGTAGAAAAGGCATGCATTTGAGTGTGTGCACGCTCACCTTTTGGCATTCGCATCAGTGGGGGGTCACAGCACTCCATGTGGAAACCTCGGTCACAGGAGTCACAGAACAACATGTTGTCCTGTAAAATACAAACACACACAGACAACACAAGAGTCAAGGACACTAATTATGAATTTTGAACACTAAAGGAGGTTGTGACAGCTCTTTTTGGAGCTATTTTTTTTTCAATTGAAGAGAAGTGATAAGGATCGCAGGCCTAAAGTGAAGTAATAAAAAAGAAATTGTAAAGCAAACCCAAAAAATTTACAAAACTAAAATCTGTGGTATCATTTGTAAGTCGCTTTGGATAAAAGCATCTGCTAAATGACTAAATGTAAATTGCATATGTAAGCATATGCTCTACCCTTCAAATGTCCAGAATGATATTTTTAAAAAGAAATTAATACTTTTATTTAGCAAGGATGCATTAAATTAATCAAAAGTTACAGTTAAGACTTGCATTGATACAAAAAGATTTCTATTGCACATAAATGCTGTTGTTCTGAACTTTCAATTCATTCAAAAAGAAAGAAAAAAAAAAAAAATCAGTTTCCACTAATATTAGACAACACAACCGTTTTCAAAATTAATGTTAAGACTAAATGTTTCTTCAGAACTAAATCATATTAGTTTGAGACTGGTGTGATCAGCTGTGCCTTCACAGGAAAAAAATAATAATTTTGAAACATTGAAAAACAAGTTATTTTAAATTGTAGTAATACTTCACAATATGACTTTTTACTGTATTTTTGATCAAATAAATGCAGCTTTGGTGAGCTGTAAATGAGGACACAGCCTAAATTAACATGATCTGGCAGCAACAATAAGACAGACCATAGAAGAATAAAAAACCTACTGCATTTTTCCCTTGGTCCTGGCAGCTGCTGCAGGTTTTGCACTCGATACACTGCCACCACAGAGCTTTGACCCGTGCTGTGAGCTCTGGAGAGAACTTCAGACAGGATGGGTGCCCTGAGAAGACACGAGACAGCCTTAAATAACTAGAATAAAGCCTCATCCCCATGAGAAGACCGTGCAGTCCCACTCTGTAATAAATCAACTTATCTACTTAGGGCTGCTCGATTATGGCAAAAATCATAATCACGATTATTTTGGTCAATATTGTAATCACGCTTATTTAACACGATTATGAGGGGGCCAAATGGCCAAAACTTTATACGAGCGATTTATTTAAAGATAGTGATACATATCAAATATATATTTCCTGTAAATAAGGTTGCTATGACATCTACATGGTAGAGACCGGCGGAATTTCACAATTCTCAATACCACAGCAGAGTATTAGGTAACTAGCCTATTAGTAACAAATAAATAAACAAACAAAAAAATTATTGAAAATAATTAAACTGTCAGTAATAAAAAAAAAAAGCAAAGACAAATACAATAGAATAAAAAGATAAAAATGAAACAAACTTGGCTTTAATGTGTTTTTATGCAAGTCAAGCAGTTAACAGCCTACTACAGAAATCAATAATCGAATGTAAAATAAAACAGCAGTCTTCACTGTAAGAATTAAACTTTCTTTGTTTCTTATTAAAGCTACAAAAGTCCTTCACTCAAGAGCAGTGTGTGATTTTGAATTTGTCTTTTGCTGTGTCTTTGATTAATATTAAGCACGCAGGAATATTAGCCACTGTCACTTTAAGAGCCGCACAGATTCCAATTTACTGTTACATGTGTATTTTCTCTCTTTACGTTCATTTATTACATGACAGATGAAGGTATACATGAATAATCACCAAGCGCCGCATTCTAACACATTTTTGACTGTATTTGACCATTTAGGCGCGCAGCTTGAGCTAAAAGATGACTTTACATGTCTGTGTTCTGCTCCGTCTCTGAGCGCATATAACGTTATCTTCCCATTTTGCAAAAGTCACGTTACATGATTTTACTGATTGTAATTGAGCTTTTATGGAGGAGCGAACGCGTAGAGCTGGAAAGGGGGTGGAATGGGGCGCAATAATATTTTTATCTCGATTATTGTATTTTCATAATCGTAGGAGGCCAAAATCAAAATTGTTTTTCGATTAATTGCACAGCCCTATATCTACTCTTTAATCTCCGACATTAGTTACTTCCAGTGCATCTGCAGAGTTTTTCTAAATTAAGACTTTTTAGAACTTTTAAGACCTTCACAAATAAAATTAATACTGTATGTCCATACAGAACGAACCCATAATAATTCATGCATTTCCAATTGTTTCACTTAACTAAACGGATTTGTCAATACATACAAATTAGAGGCCAAACGATATTGGATTTTGTTGATACACTGAGTTTAAATAAAAGCAAAAAAAAAAACGATTTTTGTGCCAGAATCTGTAAATCTATTGAACGTGGTAATGTTTTTCGTTTTTCCTTCCTATAACAGAACGACCCCAAGAGAAGCTACAAGAGATTACACTGTGTTAAATAAAGCAATAAGCCCCAAGAAGCCGTGGTTTACATTGAATTTATAACAGCTAAGGGGCGTTGTTAGGTACGAAGCGGAGAAACCCCCTTAGCTGTTATAAATTCAATGTAAACCACGGCTTCTTGGGGCTTATAGCTTTTATAAAACGGTTATTCCATATACGTAGTACGGTTTCACAAAATAAAACAGAGCAAATAAAGTGTAATGATATTAATAAAAACAGTATTCTTCCACCAAACAATGTAGTTCCTCAGAAACAGTTGTGGTTGCTACAAAGTGGTTGCCGAGCAACAGACAAACGTAAACAAAGGTGTATGTTACTTTGTAGAGTAATTTACAACAGCTTTGAACGCAGCTCAACCAATCAGAATCAAGGACCGGAACTCTCCGTTTTATAATGCCTGTGTAATAAGAGTAATAAGGGTAGTAAGAGTAAATACACACACAGAGTAATAAGGCCCCGATCACACCGAACGTGTTTTTTTAGCACTGAAAACGCGAGGCGCACCGCACTGCCTTTTTTTTGGTGACTTAAAAAGAAAAAAAGAAAAAGAGCTGTGCGCTGCGGTTTTTTTATGTTGCTAGGCAACCACCAAATCTGCTGTCCTGTCAGTCTAATTAAAGGATTATAGCGCGAGAGCTCTAAATCTTTGGTTTTTGCTGTTAAGTAGGGCTGGGTATCGATTCAGATGTCCCGATTCGATTTCGATTCGCAAGCTCTCGAGTCGATTCAATTCTCGATTTTTTTGATTACATTCAGTGAATACAGTTATATTTCTAAAAAATGAACAGTAAACATCAGTTTACAAATGGTGAATTAATAAAAAGAAATTAAGAACCACATGCCTGTATTTTAAACCTATACTTTTGTTTTGTATCGGTCCTTTTTTAAACAATAATAGGGCGCGAGCGTCATCCGCGCTTTAGTATGTGTGTAGTAAACAAAAAAGTGCACCGCACCATCCGCCGTTCATTCATTGCGGAAATCATGGCGTCTATGCGTGATATCAAATTCTTCCGCAGATTTATAGTATTACTATAGCATTTCACCTGAGCATTGCGAATCACGCGTATGGCCATGATAAGTGCTGAATGAATGACAGGATTTCTGTTGTAACATCGCGCAAGGTAAATAAGGGTGACATCTAGTGGAGAAGACTAATGATAAGATTCACGTTAATCAGATCTTATTTTAAATGTGTGCTGAAATAAATCCCGGAAAAGATCGTTTCGCGGCTTTTGAGAATCGATATCGAATCAACGTCATTTAAAAAAAACGATTAATCGAAAAATGTTCACAGTGCCGGCTCAACATCGTGATGTCGGCGATGGACGATGGCATCGTATATCGGCCCAACCCTTACTCTTACATCCATCTACAACATATTATAACATGAAAACCAAATAAATAGAGTCATAATTCATTAACAGTAGATCATAAGCTTGGCATAAATGTGCGGCATAAACTACTCTGAGCCAGTAGAAAGTGCAGCAGCGTCACGTCTTGACTTTAAAGACTATTTTTGTACCATTTACAAAATTTGTATGACCTTAAAACATGACAAAACTGAATTTAAAACGTGTCACGACTTTAAGGGCATGCAGGGAACATTATTTTGGCCAATACTCTTGACTTTAAAACTTAGTAAGTTTCTCAGCAGACATCTTACAGTATACTTAATGTCTTATATAAATGAATAATGAAAATGTTTGAAGTTCGAATGAAGTTTGACTACTTCCTTACCGCTGTTCCCACAGTCTGCACAGGAGATGAGCTCCTCGGGTTTCTTGTCGCGGTTCTGTTCCTTGGTCCCCAAACAGAAACTACAAATGGGTATGGGCTCTGCCACAGGCTGAGAGAGAAAAACAGAGATAAAGAGCAAATAAGACAGAGTTATTGGCTAAATAGATCCAAATAATATGGTGAAACAGAGGTTGGAATATTGTGTAATTGAGGACAGTTTGGCTGAATTAATTGCCCTTTATGAACTGTATTAAGGTCTGCTTCATTCAATTCCGAGCTGAGGACACTACTAATATCTCTTCACAGATTTAGCAAAGCCTGAAGAAAATAGACTGATTTTTACATTCTGGTTCAGTAAAAAAATCAGCATGCATTACCAGTCAAAAGATTGTTTAATGTTTTTGAACATGTTTGTCTCGCACGCTCAACAAGGCTATATTTCTTTGCACAAAAACACAGTAAAATAAGTCATATTGTGAAATATTATTACAGCTTACAGTCAAATAACTGTCTTCTATTAATACAATTTAAAATTGAATGCATTCCTGTGATCAAAGCTGAATTTTCAGCATCATTACTCCAGTCTTCAGTGTCACATGATCTAATATGCTGATTTAATGCTCAATCAAATTTTTTTTTTCAAATGATCAATTATTATCAGATATTTTTAATCGAATAAATATAGGCTTGAGTATAATCATCATTCAAAAATGTTCAAACTTTTGACCGGTAGTGCATAAATGTTACAAATTATGCTCAAAGGTAATTTACACCCAAAACACTCAATTCCTTCAGAAAAAAACAAAAATTTTACAACAAAAAGTGGTATCACTCAATGGGAGTTTTAAGGCATTTTTAAAGCTCCATGCTCACAAAGCATGATTTATAGCAAAATAAAAATAAAAAATGCTTCAGAGGATGCATCCAGTCGATAAGTGGGCATCAAAAAGCCCCCAAAAGATCTTACGGACACAAACCATAGTGGCTCAAAGTTTTGAGGACCAAAGGCTGCAGTGGGCATGATCACAGTGAATGTGTGGGGCTAGAGGTGGGTTTATTGTCAGGGTGTGGGCACAAAAGCATGTGTTGATGCTTATTCTAAGCCACACCATCTGCTTCTGGAGCACCATTAATCTTTCAGTGTGTCCAAGAGAGTCCCACCCACGACACCGTATGCATCATACACCACAAACAGTGCACAAACAAACACATGCATGTGAATGCAAGGAGACAGATGTGTGGAAAAGGTTCTGCTCAAGAGGAGCTGAATGTATATAGCTATACAGATGTTGTGCAACAGTGCAAACAAAGACTGCTACTACGGTTCTGAAGAAAGACGCAAGGATATTGTGTTCATATGGCGTTCTTGACTGGCTGCAGAAAGAATTAAGTAATGGCAGATTTAGGCTGGGAGAAAAAAGGTCAGTGCGCATATGAGGATGTTTCTAAGGTTTGGGTGTGTGTGTGTGAGTGTGTGTGTGTGTGTGTGCGTGTGCGTGTGCGTGTGTGTGCGTGTGCGTGTAAGAAAGCAGGTCCAGGCAGGGAGGAGAGAGGACAGTGTGATTTATTGGGTTCATTTTCTTCTGACTCCGGTACACACACACATACTCAAGGGTGGGTCTCTAAGAAAGAAAACCAAACCCTTACACACGCTTCTCCCAGCCAAAAGATCCAATCAGAACTAGGTTAAACAGAATACTGTTGTATACTTCAACCATTTAATGTCTCTTCTCCATTCATGTTGTGACAGAACTAAGACTTCACAAATCAGAGATACAACAGGATATTGAAATCTTTCTGCCTTTAGCATCTTATCTGATGAACAAAATCAAGCTAGAAAGATTTTGCAGTTTACAATCATGAACAAACAGATGATTTACCCATGAAAACGCATGTCGCTCAAGTTCACAAAATAAAAATCTAATTCATTTTACTGCAGTACTCTGCCCTGGTTCAACATTGTTTTGATTCAACATCTGCTGTTATTGAATGAAAATCATTAGGGGGAAAAATATTATATTAAGATCTAACTGTTCAGTGTATAACTAACTGACAAACATAATACAATCTGCACAACAGGGTATCAAACTAACACTCACCACCAGCCAAATATAGGCATGTTTTGAGTAGTTGCCAGTAATTTTGCTAATCTACCAGCCACTAGTGCTGTGTGCGATACGACGATGTATGGTCACAGAGATTTGACGATACGAGTATCGATACAGCTGTCTCAGTATCGATATTGTGGCACGTGTGCAGCAGTGGACCGCACTTAATTTGAATACAAGAACAACGTTTAAAATTGAGCAGAAAAGTGTGTGAGGTTTCTAAAAAATAATGAATAAGAGCATAATATATAGGCAATAACAAGGTTTAATCTGGCCGCAGAGGAACACAACTGGGTTGCCTGATATAAAGAGACATAATCCCCGAAACAGAGCTTTACACTTGCGCAATACGGAAATATCTGCTAAGTGTGTTAGTTATCTTTGTCAACCTGGCAACCCTGTGCACGCGCGGCCAATAGTTAGAAATGGCACTATAGTATGCTGTGTTTAATAAACAGCTGTTTTACTAAATTCTTCTGAGGTGAAATTCAGTGCAGTCCCGTATCGTGATACGTATCGTATCGTGGCCTCTGTATCGTGATACGTATCGTATCGTGACTTTGCTGGTGATACACAGCCCTACCAGCCACTGTGGTGGGTAACTTGGAATGACATTTGACAAGAAATGCTGCTGTTGTTGTAAAGACACGCTTGAACAAGCACCTTTGTTTATATCTTGATAAACAAAAGCCAAAGTGCATGTCATATTGAGAGTTTGTTCGGCTGTTCATTGGTACTCTGCAGGAGCACAAAAGCTCTCGCAGAAACACGTGAAGAGTTTTCACAATCCTTTCATGTCTCAACGTAGTTTCCTAGAGTTTTATAGTGTTTAATGTAGACAAACTAAAGTGGACCAAAAATCCAAGTTTACTGACACTGACATATATACATATATATACACACACACACAACGGTTCAAAAGTTTGGGGTCAGTACAATTTTATGAAAGAAGCGTCTTATGCTCAAGGCTGCATTTTTTAATCAAAAATACAGTAACATACGGTGGCCGAGAAGTGCAAAACAAATCACAATTCTGAAAACAAAATAACAAATTACAAACGCAAATGTAAATCTAAAAAACAAAATAACAATTCAGAAAACACAACAACAATTCCGAAAACAAAATACCAAGTCAGAAAACACAATGACAAATCCAAGTATAGGTCTCAGCGGGCCAAAAATGGGGCGTTTCTCAAATGTTCGATGTCATTTCCATCTCATCTAAATTATAATGCATGAATACTGCCTGTTACGAGGGAAACTGTTCCAAAAGCGCCTCTTACTAGCAGAGAATCAATTAGCATTTTCAATAAGGCTATTTTCGACTTTTGAACTGCGTCTTAATGCTGTTGGATATAACTCAATTCCAGTTTAATTTTCCTAAATAAAAGACTGTTCAACTCTTAATATTTTGTATTCGTATTCTCCCCTTTAAATTCTCTCTACCCCACATAAAAAAATCATAATTTAACACCTCTGCCTGTTTTTTGTTTTGTTTTTGCATTCCCATTTGTTCAAACAGCAAATGAAAAATCCATGATTGTGTTTTCACGACTTACAAAAATAAGAAAAAAAAAATTTGAGAGATACTGATAACGGCAGTCAGAAGAGAGAACTATGTCAAGTTTACCGTCCCTCCCATAGACACTGTATTAGAAACACCCTCGCATTAGCGTTAACTAGTCTTTTGTAATCTTATTCAATAATATAAGTACAGTGTTGTAAATGTACATGCATATTTTTTATTCCATAGTAAGGGCAATTCATACAATACTATACCTACCTTTTCCGGTTTGTCTGATTTGTCATTGTGTTTTCTGGCTTGTTATAATGTTTTCGGAATTGTTATTTTGTTTTTTAGATTTGCATTTGCGTTCGTAATTTGTTATTTTGTTTTCAGAATTGTGATTTGTTTTGCACTTCTCGGCCATTGATTGACAGATGTCTCGTCCAGTCAGCGGTGAGTAATCCCAAACCAATGGCGCTGTCTCAAACTATACCTACCTTTTCCGGTTTGTCTGATTTGTCATTGTGTTTTCTGGCTTGTTATAATGTTTTCGGAATTGTTATTTTGTTTTTTAGATTTGCATTTGCGTTCGTAATTTGTTATTTTGTTTTCAGAATTGTGATTTGTTTTGCACTTCTCGGCCACCGTAGTAACAACACATTGCAAACTATTATTATAATTTAAAATAACTTTACATATTTTAATTATAATTTTTTTTACAATGTGATTGATTCCTGTCACGGCAAAGCTGAATTTTCAGCAGTTGTGTCAGTGTCATATGACCCTACAGAAATAATTTCAATATGCAGATTTGATGCTCATGAATCATTTCTTATTGTCATTGTTAAAAAACAGTTGTGCTGCTTAACATTTTTGTGGAAACTTTTTTCAGGATTCTTTAATGAATAAAAAGTTCAAAAAACATTTATCTGAAATGAAATCTTTTTTAATATTTTAAATGAAAAGTCATTTTTGATCAATTTAATGTATGATTGCTGAATAAAAGTATTAATTAAAAAAATCTTACTGACACCAATTTCAAACAGTAGTGTTTTTATTTTTATTTTTTTAATTTGCACACACACACCTGCACAGCATAGGATAGCTTGCGACCTGTATTGGCCTTGATACCACTTGATAATTGTTTTTGTTCAGAACATGTCACTACAAGTGGAGAAACCCGGGCAGTTTTGCGGACACACCTTGCGTTCATACAACAACTCTTTCATTCTTCATAAAGACCAGCACAACAACTCAGATGAGATGAGCAAACTATTCAACAAGGCAAAATTAAAGCACAGCTGCAAAGCAGCAGACCACCGCAGGAAATCTAAAAATATTTCATGTAGGAGAGAAAAATGATTCTTTGGATTCTTTAATGAATAAAAAGTTCAAAAAACATTTATCTGAAATGAAATATTTTTTAATATTTTAAATGAAAAGTCATTTTTGATCAATTTAATGCATGATTACTGAATAAAAGTATTAATTAAA